GTTTGATTTCTTTGTATGTATGGATCACTTGGGTTGTTACCGACATCTGGTGAAAATTTCATGTCATTAGCACCTCTAGTAATATATTTACTGARAAAAATGGTGACGTGTTCAATACTTATTTTACCCGCTGTAAATGCTGTGGTGTTTGTATTTCTCTACATCTAACTAAACTCCAGGTCATTAATTCAGTTAAACTGAAGTTTGATGTGTTTGCAGATGAGAGTCGAACACAACTCATACTGCAGCTCACTGCACAAGATCTTTACTTAAAACTTTAGCATTAACTGATGCTGTTAGTAAAATATCTCATGAACCACTGGACAGATGTTAATAAACCTTTCAAACAGCAACTGTAGGGGTCACCTCGAGTGAAATAATCAAGGAAACTGTCCTCAGTCCTCTGATGGACCTTTAAAGGGACAAAAACTCTGTTCCACTTAGAACTGAATTTAGGCCACTTCAGGTCGCCTTAACCTTTCAAAGAGACATTTTCTTTTTCTTAATCAGATAATAGACAGAACTAGAGAAATTGTATTTCCTGTGAATGGTTCATGCTGAAAACTTCAACTGAAAGCTGCTGAAATTGAGCTGGAAATATTTAATAGTGAAAGTGTTAATGTGAGCACACTTTGAAAAGCTAAAATAAACAAAAAAAAAAGACTAACTTTGCAGAAAAACAGTAAATAAGAACACACATCTAGTTGAAATCAGAAAACAGCTAAAAGCTAAGAGCTAAAATAGCTGAAAACATCTGCAAGAAACATAAATAGCATTAGGTAGCAGAAAAAGGCATAAAAAGTAAAATAAAGCCAAGAATAGCAGAAATAAGCATATCTATAGCTAAAGTAGCACAAATAAGCTAAAATTAGCGTAGAATAGGCTAAAAAGTAGCAGCCACAAATTGAAATTAGCAGCACCCAGAAAGAAAAAGTGTTGTAAAAATTGTAAAACTAGCAGAAGAATTGCATGCGAGTACAAAAAAAAATGATAATTAGAAGTAAAATGTCTAAAACAGCTGAAATTTTCAGTAAAACAACTAAAAAGTAGCTGGAATTTGAATTAGCATAAGGACGCATAAGGCGCACAAGTTTGCTGAAGTTTTCAGAAAAAGTTTTAATGGCTACAAACAATGTGCATTTGGCTTAGAAAAGCTAACTTTAGCTAATAGCAGCTAAATATTAGCTAAAATTTCAGCAAATAGCTCAATATAGCAGAAAGCAACCGTAAGAAGCATTAACAGCACAAATTAGCAGGAAAAAAAAGCACAAAAAMGTAGAAAAACGCAGAAGAATAGCAGAAAGAACCAGAGTTAGCAAAAACATAGCTAAAATTAGCAAAAGAATGTGAAAAGAGCATAATCAGAACGAAATGTGTAAGAGTATGTAAAGATTTAAAAACATTTTAAAGGAGTTTAAGGATGTTGAAAACAGCTCCATTCATTTTCAATGGCAAAAAAGTGGCCAAAAAATGTGAAATAGCTAAAAGCGTAAAAAGCTGAAATATCTAAAGTCATAGCACCCCTCACACGAATGAGCTGAACGTTTTCATATATGAATTGTTGAAGTAGCACAAAAATTGTGGAACAAGTTGTATGCCGAAAAACGTACGGAAGAAAAAAAATGATCTCAATTGTGTGAATACGATGAAGCACTCACACACAAAAAAATCCTTTTATTTGATTTATTGTTCTTTTAACTGAAAGTATTACGCATTTTGATAATCAGAGAATGTTTATCAAAGTTACAGGAGTAAGGAAGACAGACTGTTTTTCCTCCCTCAGTATGATTTCAGCTATGTATGGATTTTCTGTGGGAAAAAATCTTATTTAACTAAACTAATCTTTATGGTTTTTATAGAGTTCTTATCAGATAACTAAACTGACCTGTTTAGTTATTATCTGATGAGAACTCTTTAAAAACATAACTAAGAATGAATTACTTCAAACTCAAACATTTTCAAATAAAACATTGATGTTTCATCGACTTTAAACCATACMGATTAGTTTAGTTAAATAAGATTTTTGCACAGAAAATCCATACATAGCTAAAACTCATACTGAGGGAGAAAAGACATCTGTCCTCTTTCCTCCTGTAACTTTGATAAACATTCTCTGATTATCAAAATGCGTAATAGTGCTGGGCGGTATTGTAAGAAAAYACATATTCAATAGACTGAAGTCAATTTTAAAACCACCATTGTTAAATAAAATGATTTGTAGAAGGAGTCAAACCATACAACACCAGAACTCTGGGACTGAGTGAGATTTAATGTCACTGGAGCTGACAGGAAACCACACAGGCGACAAACCAGGAAGTTAATCAATTTATACAGAGTCTTCAATGCCTGCATTCGCCCCCTACTGACCTACGGCTGAATCACAGGCATTCAGACAAATTTCTCTCCTACTGTTCTCATGACGGTTGATTATGTGTTGTTATATAATTCGGACAAGTAACTGAACCTATTTCAATCAAAACATACTAGATTAAACATTATCAACATTATAAAAAGGAAAACCTAAAAATATAGTGTTGTGCTTTTAACATCAGTACTAACCTCTAATAAGTATAAATTTCTTCAGTATGCTGGTTTGTACCGAATACCGTTTTTTATTTTTGTTGCGATATGAATTTTCTGAATACCGACATACCGTTTTAAATAGCCTGAACACGTTCGAAACGTTTCGTCACAGCCGCCAGTGAACTGTTTCCTGGGGGAAACTTTTCCTCGCTGCACCGCTATGTGCGTTAGCATGCTAATGTTGGAATAACTGACAGCAGGTGGCAATTCCGCTGCTTATATTGACTGGCATTAAAAAACATCCCGTTTTTGCCTGAATGTTGTAAACACATCTTCAGCGACGTGCACGGTTAGATTTTACCCGTAATGTTGATGCATGGACTTTAGCGTGCTTGTTTTGTGAAAAGCCTGGGGGGAAGTAGTTTTGTAGTAGAGTTGAGTTGAGTTGTGTGCAAGTTGAGTCGTGCTGTTAATCTTTATTAAATAACATAAAACAATAAACCCGATAATCTTTTCTTAACCCTCCTCCTTCATGACCCAACCAAAATGCGTGACTACTGTCTCCAACCAGGAGGAGAAAAGACGTTTAGAGGAGGGAAACAGAGACACAGACAGAGGTACAGTTAAAGAAAAAAAATTAATAAGCAGTTTTTGTACATTTTATTATCAGCTGACCTGTGATGAAAAGAAAAATACCATGAAACTGGTGTAAATGTTGAAAATATAGTGATAGAAAATTTGGGTCATACCGCCCAGCACTAATGCGTAATAACGTTCAGTTAAGAGAACAATAAATAAAATAAAAGGAAGATTCTTCTGTTTATTATCTGATTAAAAGGGAAGAGAATGTCTCTTTGAGAAGTTAAGGCGATCTGAAGTGGCCTAAATTCAGTTCTAAATGGAACAGAGTTTTTGTCCCTTTAAAAGGTCCATCAGAGGTCTGAGGTCCAAGACAGTTTCCTTGATTATTTCACTCCAGGTGACCCCTACACAACCAATGGATATATTTCTACAACTCTTTAATGTTTGGAACCTGATGCTTGCTGTACCTAATCCACGGTACCCAAATCAAACATGTCTCTACTAGGGGTGTAAGAAAATATCGAAACACTCAAATATCGCAATATTTCATTTCCCGATACTGTATCAATATTCTAAAGCCCTGTATCGATTTTTAATTAAGGTTTAAAATATCAACTTTCCTGCCAGCCGTTCATTTTTATGTTGTAGTTCAGCCTCTGACCACTAGTTGGCAGCAGTGAGCCAGACATTTGGCTCCTCTACCTCTTGAGCGCCAGAGAGTAAGTGTAACATTAGCATTGAGAGTAAAAAAATGTACGTTTACACCATGTGTTAGACAATAGTGGTTAGAGTTGGGTGATATTGGTAAAAAAAAGATTCTATGAATACTTGTGGCATTTAGCTGATAATAAATGATTCATAGATGACTATCACATACATGTATCAGTCAGCATGTGTTCTTTTTTTGTTAAATCACTTCAGTAGAAAAAAATAACTTAATATTAGTTTCTTAATTGCTTCATCATCAGTGATTTTTTTAAAGTAAAGAGAAAATAG